GCTTATGTTTCTGGTTATGTCACACAGTGGAAAAAAAGAACCCCATTTTTTTAAAATAAAAGTAAAGGCAACAGAAATCATATGGTCCATAAATCCTAAAATATATTCCAAAACCTTTGCTATCTGTCTCTTTACAAAAAAAGCTAGCCAACCACTAATCTAGAGAAACAGTTAGGTTTGAGATTTGTGGCTCTAAAAACCTTCACGCTGCACCAGTCTGTATTCCTGACAACATGGATGGATCTTGAGATTATTATGCTAAGCGAAATAAGTCAGACAGAAAAAGCCGAGAACTGTATGATTTCACTGATATGTGGGATATAAAACTGAAAACAGCAAAGGAACAAGACAAACAAATGAAGAAACAAACACTCATAGACACAGACAATAGCTTAGTGGTTACCAGAGGGTAAGGGGGAGGGGATGCTAGATGAGGGTAAAGGGGGTCAAATATATGGTGATGGAAGGAGAACTGACTCTGGGTTGTGAACACACAATGTGATATATAGATGATGTATTATAGAATTGTACACCTGAAACCTATGTAACTTTGCTAACCATTGTCACCCCAATAAACTTTAATTTTAAAAAAAACACAGAAAACTAGAGTTGGGATTTGAAGAGAAATGAGATTTTTGTCTTGGGAAAGGAGAGAAGAGAAATATATAGAATATATGTAAGGGCACCAAAGTGTGGAATGGCCCATGCTAATTGGAGCTTGCTGAATAGAGCCTGGGCTATGGGAGGGATGGGAAGAATGGAGGGAGATGAGGCTGGAGGGGGGAGTTTGGTTCAAGAAGCACAGAGCCCTTAGAGCTGGCCGAGTGGCTCAGTTGGTTAAGAGCTCACGCAAGAGTGCAAGCTCCGAGCAACAGCGGTTCGATGCCCGGCCTGAGCTGAGCTGCCGCTGAGCTGCCAACAAGTGGCAGGATGGCTCAGCTAAAAACAAACAAACAAAAAAGCACAGAGCCCAGAATGCCATGCTAATTTAGGCAGTGAGTAGCCAGTAAACATTGAGAAGCAAAAGGAAAATAATAAGAAAAAATAGCACCCAGCATACCTACAAACTGTCAGAGCAATGCTAAGGTGTGACTTACGTAATCAATTCATAAAATACTTCATTCCATGAGATGGTACTGTTTTCTTCATTATACAGGTGAATACTCTGTATAATGAATACTTCATTATACAGGTGAGGCTCAGAAAAGCTCAGTTGGCAAGCATGGTGTAATCCCTTATCTCAAGATGCCTATAATCTTGCCCAAGGTTGTATGTCTAGGAAATGGTAAGGCCAACTGTGAGGAAAGACTATTATAATTGACAGTTTACAAAGGAGTACATGGAGATTCAGACAGGTTGAGTAACCTGTCTAGGGTTACACAGCTAAGAAATGGTAGAGCAAGAATTTAAATTCCACAGTCTGGCCCTAGATAGTCTGTTTTACACTTTCCTTTTTGATTTAATGTTCTCTCTTGCTTTTCCCCCTTGATAGAAAAGTGGGGAACACAGGAGTTGATTGGTTCTATTTTCTCTCTTTAGTATTTCACCTTCCATTGTCTGTCCCAAGCAGTGGCTCTTTCTCCATTATTTGTGGTGGTGGTTTTGAAAATAGCTAAAATGACCTAAACAGCAAGAACCTAGGCATGTTCTGTGTTCTTGTCTTCAAGAAACCATCCTTAGACGTTGTTATCTTGTAGCACTCACCATGGGTAAAAGGCCTTAAAGTTTACTGAAACACTTGCAGTGCATAAACTTTTTCTTTAGTTTCAGTCATTTATCTAGAGGACATCAATTGAGCACTGACTGTATTCCAGGACCTGTGCGAGTTGCAGGGGATAGATAGATCAGTGAGCAAGAGGGACACAATTTCCCCTCCCTTTCCCACCAGTATAGAGATGTTTTCAGATGCTGAGTGCTAAAGGAAAGGAGACCAGCAATCAATGGCCTGACCAGCCCATAAATGAGAGTATCTGCCCCTGACTGTACACAGGTAGCTGCATTGCTCGACCTCTCAACACTCCTCTCAGTATCTTTCAGCTGACTCTGTACTTGCTGATACTTCTTCCTTTTTCCTCACTAGAGAATTTTGTGATCTCATCCCAATATCATTTGTTGATACATTTTAGTCACCTTGATTCACTCTCTGTTTTCCAGTCTCTGGCCCTAGCCTTTCTGTTCAATAGACTTCTTTTTTTTTAATGTGCTTTCCAGAACACAGTTGAAGTCTGATAATTCTCTGCATTCTTATCCTTCACTGTATTGAAATTTGAGATGATGCAATCATTTCCACTTCATTAAATGCTCCTTTTTTGGTCAGAAGTAAGTGTGGAGGAAAAAAATCTCATTCCTGCTGTCTTTTGAGGGTCAAATTTTCAACAAGTAACATTTTTTTAAAAAGCATTTTCCAACACTTTCCAGAACCTTGCAATCCTCCCAAATGAACGTATGTTGCTTTGGTATCTGTTGTGTCTCTATTTTAAGAACAATTTGGTCATATTTTCTAGTTAGCCAGGCATTCTTGGAATTGAGCCCTCTTTTCATCCTCACCCATGCATCGTCTCCAGGGATTCAGGTCCTCTCTTAGAATCTCTTTTAAGATTTCTAGATCTTGTTGGCTCCCATCCTTCTTCCTACTAGACTGTTGGATCACAAGATGCGATTTCTGCTTCAGGTTATTTCATCCTTTCTAGAAATAGACTCAGAGTGGTGAGATAGCTTCAAGAAACAATTTCCTCTTTATCTCCTCAGTATTACTGTCTTTCAGTTATTACTTCTTGGCATTAGTCTTTTAACTCTGACACCTCACATTTCTTTTCACCCTGCCTTGTTCAAAATTATTTCTTTCATCTGTAGGATCCACTTGTTGTCCCTGAGAAGCTTGAGACACAAAAGGCATCCCTTCATTCCTCTCATCATCTTGTCCAACAACAACAACAACAACAAAAAACCTTGAAAGTGCAGAACGCAATGCAACCATGAAAAATAATTATAGCCACCTCAGAATGAAATGCCAACATGGCACATTTTTCTCATGTTCCTAGAACACTTCCCTTGTCATCCATGCCTCTCTGGTCTCCCATTGAGATGTTGTCCTTTGCAACTTGCCCTCCAAAGCTTCCTTTCTGAACTGTTTAGTCAGTCCACTATTTCCTTGCTACTTGTCTACTGGATATATTATGCTCCTGAAACCAATCTTATAAACGAACTGAGGCATTTTCTACCCCTCATCACTGCCCTTTGATAATCCAGCTTTTGCTAGTATTCAGTATTAATTCACACCAGCGAGTTCAGCCCCCTTCAGTAAGTATAGGGCCACAAAGAGACTTTCGCCTGAGTTTCCCCCACATATTTCACATATTTCTACTCCTGATCTCCAGCTTCTCACCATATTTGCGTATCACTGTGTTTCTTATTTACCAGGTGTTTATACAAATTGTAATACCTAACATCATTACCTAAGAGTGTCAGGAACTATGCTAATATTATTGTTGTTATTTTTCTGCCATTGTTCTATGTACATTTCTTGCATTCGCCATTGAATCTATACAACTGCCCCTGTCACATTTACCCTATTTTTATCCCTCCTTTATTGAGGAGAAAAATGAGGTTAAGTAACTTTACCAAGGTCACAGACTTTCTAAGGCAGAGAATAGGATTCTCTCCCAAGTGCTTTTTTACTCAGGACCTTCACATCTTAAATATTACCACAGGCTATCTTATACTACAGTGCTCAACACTTTTAATATTAATTTAATATGTCTTAATGACCTTGAAACAGTTTTTCATAGGCAAGTAGAAAAACTCTGATTTTCCAAAAATAATGTAGCTTGGGTTTTCCTCACTGCTGGCCACTTTATTACCAGTCGGAAAGAAAAGGGGAAAAAAATATGGTAAACTGCTCCCAATAGAAAACACAGAGCAAAGACAAGAACATTTCATTGGCTTTGATTTCCCTAGAGTCCACCTCCAAAGTAATTTACTTCCTATTCAAGGAAATCGTTAAGTCAGAAATAAGATCTTATCCAATCTTTCCTTTTGCTTTTTTTCTTCCTTGAATGGAAAAAGTAAGTAAACATTACTCACCTGACAAGGTCTGAATGCTCTCTTTATTTTTTTTAACCAACTCTATAATCTATATAATTGTTGTTGACAAAGGCTATTTAAATTAAACTAATTGTCCAGCCAGAGGATAAGCAAAATCATTTTGAAAGATTGGGTATTAATGAAATGTGTATTAATAGTCTGAGTCTTTGAATTTTCTATCATGTAATACTATATAAAGTATCCACATTCTTACAAAAAAAAAGTATAATGCCATAAATAATACTTTGGTTCAAATTGTTGCCCTTCAGCTAAGGTTCTTTTATTGTTATTGAAATTGTCTGATTGCTCTGGCTAGGACTTCCAATACTCTGTTGAATAACAGTGGTGACAGGGAGCAACCCTGTCTTGTTCCTGATCTTAGAAGAAAAGCTTTCAGTTTTTCACCATAAGTATGATATTAGCACAATGGAATACTACTCAGCCATAAGAAAAGATGAAATACTGCCATTTGCGGTAACAAGGATGGATTTTGAGATTATTATGCTAAACGAAATAAGGCAGAAAAAGTTGAGAACTATGTGACTTCATTCATATGTGGGATATGAAACTGAAAGCAACGAAGGAACAAGACAAACAAACAAACAAACAAAAACTCATAGACACAAGCAACAGTTTAGGGTTACTAGAGGGTAAGGGGGAGAGAGACAGTAGAAGAAGGAAAAGGGGGTCAAATATATGATGACGGAAGGAGAACTAACTCTGGGTGGTGAACACAATGCAATATATAGATGATGTATTTTAGAAATGTACACTTGAAACCTACATAATTATACTAACCAAGGTCACCCCAATAAATTTAATAAAAATAAATTTAAAAAATGGAATTGTCTTCTTAGCTTGTATTTCTAATTTTTCTTTTTTTGTTGTTTTTGTCCTTTTTGAAAAAAAACATTTAGCTCCTAGTCAGACTGTTACTCTGGTGACACAACCCGTGGTTACCAAGGAAACTGCCATCTCCAAACTAGAAATGCCTTCTTCTTTGCTGTTGGAGGTACCTGCTCTAGCAGATTTCAACCGGGCTTGGACGGAGCTTACCGACTGGCTGTCTCTGCTTGATCGAGTTATAAAATCACAGAGAGTGATGGTGGGTGACCTTGAAGACATCAACGAGATGATCATAAAGCAGAAGGTATGGGCAAAAGAGAAAAGCTGGTAGGGGCTTTTCTTGCAAATGAAGATTTTCCACAAGTCAATTTACTCTCCTAGACCATTCCCCACCAGTTTTTAGGCAGCTTTTCTCTGTCAGCAAACACACTACTCTCTCTACTCTATTCAGCCCAAGTATGATCAAGGAAACAAATTAATGCAATTATCTAAAACAGCCATAAAATAAAAGAGAACAATAATACAAGGGGAAAAACATAAACCTTACAAGTAAAGTGGGCTCAATTAAATTCACTAAACAACTGGTATTTTAAAAATCTATTTAATATCAAAGAAGTAGGTCAATTGAGCTGTTTACATTTAAACTGTTTGTTTTGGCACTCTGCAGTCATAATATATTACAGAATCGAATATAATAATCTGGGAATTGGTTATTCACTCTTCTGAGTTATCCGTGCCAATTTCCCTACTCTGGTGATAAGGATAATTGAAAGTTAGCTATAAATTTAAAAAAAAGAATAGTAACAAAACGTAATATGTTATTAAATATCTTAGATCTTAACATTGGCATTTATGCAATGCCATACTCAAATGAACACATTTTTAATATAAAGATTGCATTTCTTAGCCTCATTTGATTCCATTCTGCAAAATTCTGACATCAGCTAGAAACATAAGCATGCATTTATATAAATGCAGTGTACCTAGCTGGAGCAAATATACTATATATTTTTATATTTGTGAATGAATAAAAAACTAATTTTGAAAGATTTACACAGTATAATTATTTCACTTGTAATGATCTTCAAGGCTTTTGTAAAGAAGTAATAAATTATACTGAAGGTATTTAATTGTTACAGAACTACTTTTTGAAAAAACAAGGAGTAAGCACGCAAATCTCTTTTTAAAATAAATGTCAGCAATTCAGCAGAAATAAAAAAACATTGATAGTAAACAACCTGCATATAAAGTACCCTGAGCTTAGACTCAGAAGACCTGAATTTAATGGGCTTTCTTTGTAATTTGCAAATGACATGATTGTGGTCAAATCATTTTCCGGATCTTGGTTTCCTCTTCTGGGTACAGAGCACACAGATTTCACACTCAACACATAGTGATGGATATATGTGTGTGTGTGTATAAAGATATTTAAATATTACACACACGTGTACGTGTGCACACACACACACACACACACACTTTGTTTTACTATTGCTTTATAACAAGTATTAGTAACCATTTTTTGGAAAAAGCTATTGAGACTCTTAGTCATGATCCTTGTAAGTAATAGAGCAAAGCTTCAAATCTAAGTTTGGTTCTAAAGCCTGTGTTCTTACTGTATACACTGCTACCATTTGGTGATGTAAAATGCATATGCATACATATATTGTATGTAGAGTCTATATCCGGCACCACGCCAAGCTTTTTACACTTGCAGTATGTGGATACATAGAGAAACAAAAGGTATAATCTTTCACAATATCATGCTGAGTTATACCAGTACCTCGAGGGCGATAGTATGTTATAATGGTTAAAGCTTGGACTTTGGAGTTAGACTGTCTGGGTTCAAAGCTTGGCTCCACTTCTACAGCTGTGCAACTTTGGGTAAGTTATTCACCTGGGGTTTTTCTATCTGTACAATGTGGATAATGATACTATCTGCCTTACAGGTTGTAGTGAGGATTAAATTAGGTAGTACATGAAAAAATGCTTCCTACCTCATCTTGTTTACTGCAAGTATTCAGCTAATGTTAGTAATGAATATTAGGTTCTACAATGAGCTCTGTGTGCATCTGCCTACTCGTGGCATTTGTATTGTGCAAACTGTGTGTCATATAATAATAATATACGATAATAAGAGTGCGTTACCATATCTGGACCCCGTTCCGCCATTGACATTACGGCCTCCTATAAAAACTACTAGATAGGAGAATGGGAGACAAAGTCCACACATCCTTAGAAAGGGTTTGTGAGCCTTGCCTTTAAGGAAAGCATTGACCTATTCAGCAGTCTTCAGAGTTCTCCAAATAAATATATCTTTTCTAGAAAGGATGGCTAATTTGATGCCTCTTCAAAGTGATAGTCTTTAAGTCCAAAATTAATTTAGAGAAGTTCAGATGCCATGTCTAGGGTCATAGAAAGCAAGGACTTATAAATGTGGTATAGAGGCGGGGGCGGGGGGACAGGGGCTGTGTATTCCTTTTTTTGCTAAATAGTGGGGGTGTTTTTTCCTGCTTCTTCCACTCATTAAAAATATAAAGATGGGCCGGCCGAGTGGCTCAGTAGGTTAAGAGCTCACTCAAGAGTGTGAGCTCTGAGCAACAGCGGTTCAAGTCCCGGCCCGAGCTGAGCAGCCGCTGAGCTGCCAACAGTTGGCAGGATGGCTCAGCTAAAAAAAATAATAAAAAAATAAAGACATTGCCAGTTCTTGCCTTTTATAGCTGCAGTCACTAAATGTTCAGTAAAATGACCCTAAATCAACATTAAACAAATGTGTGTGTATGTAGAGGGCAACAAGAAAGTAAGGTTAAGTTCAGGGAAGTATTTATTATGATATCAGGAAGTAAATATTTCCTCTATGGAAGATTTTAAATGAAACAGTCCTGACTTTAATAGTTGAAGTTTGAGAAATGAGGTAAAGTCCAAAAGGTCTTGATAAACTGTAAAACACTATCAATACCTATGTATTCATATATTTTTAAAATAAAATTATATTGAGCTACTAAGTGCCTGGGAAATACACAAGATAGGAATGTACAGATTAAAGAAAGTTAAGAAGAAAACCAATAATAGCCACATATCAGTGAAATCATATGGTTCTTGACTTTTTCTATCTGACTTATTTCGCTTAGCATAATAATCTCAAGATTCATCCATGTTGTCACAAATGGCAGCATTTCATCTTTTCTTATGGCAGAATAGTATTCCAATGTGTATATATACCACGTCATTTTTATCCAATCGTCTATCAAAGGACACTTTGGTTGTTTCCATGTCTTAGCCACCGTAAATAAAGCTGCAATGAACATCAGAACACATATATCATTACGGTTAAATATTTTCAGATTTTTGGGGTAGATACCCAAGAGAGGGATTGCTGCGTCATTGGAGAAGGAGGTGGTAGATGAGGGTAAAAGGGATCAAATATATGATGATGAAAGGAGAACTGACTCTGGGTGGCAAACACACAATGTGATATACAGATGATGTATTACAAAATTGTACAGCTGAAACCTATGTAACTACTAATAATTGTCACCCCAATAAACTTTAATTAAAATAAAATAATAGCACTATAATAGAAGTAAATTTCAGGTTAATACCTAGCACATGTTTAGCACTAATGATATGCCAATCACTGTTCTAAGCATGTCTCATGTACTACTTAATGCTCACAATAACACTGTGAGATTGATACTAAAGCACAGTGAGGTTAAATGTGGGCTGCCCAAGGTCAAGTAGTAAAGAGACAGCAATGGGATTGGAACCCAAGCAGCCTGATTCCAGAGTCCCCACCCTTAACCATCATGGTTTTCTGCTCCCTGGGCATGCTTTGGGTGATACTCTAGGGACTTAGTTCAGGGAGAGGGCAGTTAACTAAGCCAAGGAAGAGAACAGATGTCAGGAAAAGCTTCTTGAAAAAAAGGTAAAACTTAAGCCAAGCATTAAAGAACAAGTTGTAATTAACAGGTCAATAAAACGAAAGGAAACAAACTGTACTTTTCACTAAAATGGGAAACAATATGGTGTGTTATAGAAGTTGTACTTTTATTGGCTAAAATTCAGGGTATATGATGAGGAAGAAATTGATGAGGTTGAATAGAGAAGGGTGGGGCTAAAAAATGGGAACCCTTCCTTGCCAGACTAAGGAGTTTTGCTTATGGCCTGCAGGCAGTGGCAACCCTTGAAGGATTTTAAACAAAGAACGAAAATCCTCAAATGTAGTTGAGTTGTATATAAATTAGGGTTCTCTGGAGGCAAGCAACAGAAAACATCCTCTGATTAAGTCAAGCAGAAAGTAAATTTGCTGGGATTAGCATGAAGGCCATGAAAAAGGTTTAAAGAAAGAAAAGAGACCTGAGCATGCCTGCACATCTAGTTAGCAGGAAGTACTCAAGGCTCTTGGTGATATTCTTTTTTTCTCCATCCTATGTAACTATTCAAAATTTAAAGCTCTAGAACAGAAAGTCCAGTTGACCTTGCTTGGGTCACTCACCCATCTCCTCGTGAAAGGAGAGCAGAGAACTTTGATTTAAATCCCACTCCTTCCAAAGCCCCTCATGAGGAAGAGGTAATTTCCCCCAAAGAAACCAGGGTCTTTGAAAATAGAAGAGGGAAAGGATGCTGAGCAGCCAATAAACAATAAACATCCACTGAACTGAAGCAAGGATATGTCGAATAGGGTGAAGGGCAGAGCAAATAAAGGAGATTTGAATGTGGTGATTATCATGAGCTAAGCAATATGTTTATCTATTCCAACTTTGCATCATGGAGACCTGAAATAAAGACCATTTATGTCTCAGGATCCTAAATATAAGGGTTTAACCCTTGCACATACAGTAATTGGTTCTTAATAAATGTAGATTTCTTAAAGGATAATGTGGATGAGATGTGATAAGGAAGCTTCATTTTTAACAGGCATTGGAGTTTGGAAATTATAGCTGCAAAATATCAGAAGTTAGCCAAGATGATGTAACAAAACATTATATAACTCGAGTATTGAATTTATGAGATGCAGGCCAAACCTTAGACATGCAATGATTGAAATATTGTCCCCAGAAAGGGGATAAGGACATGGGATTTGAATAGTTAGATTTTCATAGTTCTTCACCTTGAATTTGAAATCATATTTGATATTTACCTTCTGTTTTCCTTTAACGCAAGTTGTTTGATTAAATTCTAATTTTAGAAAATAAGGGGCTTCTACCATTTTGAAATGAAAATAATTTTTACGAGGTGAATTCCATTTGGCAAAAAAAAATGGAAGTTAAATTACAACTTTAATTTTTTAAAAGATTGTAAAAT